TATAGGATAGGACACAACTTCTAATGATAGTATCGGAAGCTACTCACAACGAATATAAGTAGCGTAGTAGATCTTAATTACAAGCACAAGTTTGACTTATCAGCAATCCCAAAATTGCGAAAGAGACTTGCCTCTTTGACGAGTTGTTGTGTGGTGCTAGGAATGGCGATACTCACTGACGATGCCGGCGAAACGTTTGCGAATGTACCACGTCCACGGTTCAACCTTGGAAATGATCATGCATACAATGAACTCCGGACTTGGTGAGTTCCTCTAAGTCTTCTTACTAATATGACCATGTTGCGAAAACAAGGTCAAACAACCTCTATACAACGAAAGGAGACTGCGACCATACCTTCGATACGTAGTTTCTATTCAACAAAATGTCGACAGTCTCTAAACCTACATATACTGAAATTGAGTTGCGTTGCGATTGTAATTGTAAATTCATGCTTCTTTATTTTATAATCTCACTACAAATGACTGGCTTGCCTTGAAAGGCAGATGTGCCCTGTGACTCAGTTAAATCCATGGCAATGGAGTAGAGTGTTACTATCTATTTCGTCCGAAATATAATCCTGTTGGGGTGCTGGTGAGACGATGGAGTGAGGCTGATACTGCATTTCGGGATAGTTTAGATCGAGTATGAGAGACAAGGTTGAGTGAAATTCAATTGCATCCTGAAGAATGCTCATACGATTTCGCGAAACCTCGACTTTCCGTCCCTTAATCACCAGAGTTTTAACGCAGGTGAAGTCAACTTGCATTCTGTATCGACATTCTGTTGCTATGATACAGTTGGTTTTAAGTGATTCTTGAATTGGCCCCACTCGAACTCGAAGAAGAAGTACTGTTTGTTGTATCGAAGAAGAAGTACTGTTTGTTGTATTGTACAGAGAAGTCCCCGGCTCACCGTCTTGCATCCCGATGAAACCGGGATGAGTTTTTCTCTTTCATCTCAGACCTTGTCAGATCGAGCAGCCATACTCTACGAAAGATTTACACCAATTTACTGATTGTTGAGCTCACTCACGTGTCAATTGAACAGCTTTGGTGGAGAGATTTGAAGGTCGATCTCAGCTGCCAACTGGTTTTACTGCAAAATTCTTGCTGATGTTGTTTTTGAGACAATCTTCTTCGATTCCAGACCTACGCATTTCTTATATCCATTTGTAATCTCCTAATTAAGAATCCTAGGATTTGGTTGGTTACTTTATGCTTGTGAATGCGCCAATTTGGTGCTTTGACATGAAGTGTATGGCGCCGAAGCGCTTTTCTTATACAAACAAACCGGCCCACGATCATCTATTGCCGACGTGTGTTTGGCCATTTGGTATTGTGCATTGTAAGCATGTTATGCTCAAACCTTGTGATGCTTTCATCTTAGCTATTATTCCTGCTTCCCGTCTCTCCCTTTTTTAAGCCTGTTCGACAGCAATAAAGGGTTCGCGGCCATCCTAAATTCGGTCTTCGATTCGGGATCTTGGAAGTTTTGCTTCAGTTGAAGTCAATTCACGAAGTCCCTGCAAGTGATTTTTCTCTCGAAATGATAAGGCCAGACATACTAAATTGTATGGGATTCCTCGAAACCAAGATCTGTGCGGAAATACTCGATAATGGCCTGTCTCTTCTTGGCCCATACTATGACCAGTTGAGATGGTTTCAAAGTAGACTGCATTCGTTGTGGAAGCAACTTTGTGCTTTAAAGACTCACATAAAACACCGTCTTTGTCCAGGAAAAGTGCACAGGGATACCCACCTTGACAGACCGACAGTAAAATGAGTGAATACATATGCAGATAGATTTTTATATATTTGAAGGATGCGCAGAAAGAGAGGTAGAGTGGCAGACAAAGAGGCATAACTCATGTGCACATATTCTAAAATATCCATCTACACACACGTCATATCGGATTACGAGCCTGACAGAGGTGTTTGTCGGTTGCCGAACCAAATTTATTATCATAGTTTTATTTCATCTGCTCCAATTTTTATTTTCTTGCGAGTTTACTGAAATTAAATTAAAACCCAAACCTTATATGCATTGACACGAAGAGTTGGAAATTCACACAAAAATCAGCATAACTGGCATGTTCTGTCTGTATATTCTGTCGGCATCGTGCACAAAGGCCATCTAAGGTCGCTTTTCACTATTTCATTGGTACGAAATATCATAATTATTTATCTTGTCACAAGAGGCTAAGGGCGAAAAAGTTTCCCGTAACCTCGTGCGACCTCTGGCGGTGCATTAGAAAGTAGTTTAGTTGAAGTGGATTGCGGAAGTGGACCCCGCAGTGAGACGTCCGTCTTCTAGTTTGGAAATCGGCTTCCGCCTTGACAAGCCGCGTTGCTTGGCCCGAAGAACTGGAAAGTGTGGACGTCACTAATTTTCCACAATGTATTGTTGATATGACGCCGGAGGGTCAGACGAACCGAGGCTGTACATGAGCATGACGCCGACTGCAGCACTGGCGGAAGATGATGTTCTTTTGGCGGTCACGCCGACTCATAAACCTGTTTTCACAGGCTGTACTCATCTTCCAATCGTATGCATAGGATTTCTTTTAGTTTCCGCAACCTGCAAATTTCACGAAAGGCTAATCGTCCCATGTCAGTAGTCATTGGTGTCATTTGTACCTCAGTAGTAGATATAGGATCGGACACAACTTCTAATGATAGTATCGGAAGCTACTCACAATGAATATAAGTAGTGTAGTATATCTTAATTACAAACACAAGTTTGGCTTATCAGCAATCTCAATATAGGTGCCATTTGGGCTTCACATGACTCGCAATCAAAAGAAAATTTCACTTCTTCTTGGCGCACGAGTACTTCTGTTTGTGTAACGGAGTGTTGCTATTTCGCTAGACGACACAGACCACACAGTTTCAAAGACTGTTCCGGGTAAAGATAAGATCTTTTTGCGTTATTTAGTAGGTTTTCAAGACTACCAGTCGTCGATTGCTATAGGAATTATACGTTTGCTTCATCGGCAACCCTAAAACGGATTGTGATATCGAAAATGTTTAACCTTCTTTGAAATTCGTATTTACCCCGTGACCCAAGAACACGAGCGGAAATGTGGCCAGGTGGTTAACGTGCAGAGATTAGACGCTGTACTGTAATGCCACAACTTCTTCAGGGAGTAGTGGGTTGACCTCGTTGTCGCAACTTGGTCTTGTTTTCAGGGAGACCATGTAGAACGCACCTAGTC